GATTCGCCCGTGAGCCAGATGGACTGGTTGGCAAACTGCGGGAATTTGTCGAACCAGCCTTGCAGGAAGGCGTAGTTGTCGATGGCCGTCTTGGTGTCGTTGGTGTTGTAGTCGCTGCTTGTGTTGCTGTACGAGAAGCCAACGCCTGCCGGTGCATCCACATACAGCACGTTGGCAAACCGGTTCCAGCTCCAGCCGTTGATGTCGATGGCCACGCCACCTTTCTTTCCGACTTTGGCCCTCAAGGGTCCGTTCTCCGTCATCATTCCAACCAGCGAGCTACACCCTGCATGTGATTGTGTTTGTTTGTTCGTGTGTGCGTGTGTGTGTGTGTGTGTGTGTGTGTGTGTGTGTGTGTGTGAGGGAAACGAAACCAGTCTTGTTGAGGTACAGCGACAAGTATCACACAGTGAACACTCTGTTCTCTTCTTTCCACACACACACGCACACACGCATGTACACGCATGCACACGCATGCACACGCATGCACACGCGTGCACACACACACACACACACCTGGCCCGCCTTGCTGCCAGAGGATGATGGGGTCTGTGGATGGATCGTTTTGCGATTCAGCAAAGAAGTAAAACAGGGCGCGGCCGTGGTCCTTGTCCACCGTCACGTACCCAGAGTACATCTTGAAGTCCGGCATCTTCTCCAGCCCTGGCAGGCTTGTGATCAAGTCGCCATGCTTCCCGTCACCGTCGCTCTCTGCCGCAACCACACCATGCGCAGCAGCAGCCGCAGCACAAAACAGCGCAACCAACAAGCGCAACAACGTCATATCCGCCAGTGAACCCAACAGCACAAAAAGTATGCACTACGATACGGACGACTTTCAAGGCACGACTATTGTGGGGGCGGGCTTTCTTGCTGTGCGTTTTGTTAGTGTTTTGGTTTCGCCCTCCTTGTCCTGCTGTCCTGTGCGACCTTCTTGTCCTCTTGTCCTGCTGTGCTTGTGGCCGCCACGTCTCGTGCCCGTGTGAATTCTCGCCCTGCACTCGAACCCAAGGCCACAGCCAACCTTTGCCCTCCTCCCATTTCCGCACAACGTGCGTGCTGTGGTGTGGTGTGGTGAGATACTCAGCTCACTTGACTTGTGTTCTTTTGTTGATGATGGTGCAAACGAAGAAGAAAACCAAGAAGGCAAGAAGGCCAGGAAAAGAAGCCGGACAGCCACACAACAAAAGGTGCAGTGTTTGCTGCACTTAATGTGCGTGTATCCCTGGGACAGCGACAAAGCAAAATGAAACACCCCTCTCCCCCTTGTGCTGTTGCAGCTTCTCTTTCTCTCCCTGCGATAAGAAGAACCAGAGTTCTCTCTCCCTCACAGCAGCAGTGAAGCCATTTTGCTTTCTGCACTGCGCTCGTCGCCTCAACCCACAAGCAACCCCCATCAGCACCTCCCCCAAGAGCATCACAACCAGCACCTCCCCAAGAGCATCACAACCAGCACCCCCCAAAGCGCATCACCTCACCCAGCAGCATGGGCAGCGCAGACGAAGAAGTGATCGAAATGCCTTCCGTCGACAACGACGGCAGCAAGGCAAAGGGATCAAACTGGAAGGACAAGAAGTCAAACAGCCGCAGCGCCCTCGTCAAGTACACGGACGATGCCGATGAAGAGGAGCGTGGGTGGCTTCAAGCCCACCCGATCCTCTCAGCCCTGTTTGTGATGCTTGTCGTCGCTGGCGCCGTCGCTGTGGCCTTTGGCGTCACATACGGAAGGGACGATGGCAGTGCCTCTGCTGCTTCCATGTTCTACCAGTCTGCTGAGACATGTGCATCCCAGGTGAGCCGATATCTGTGCTGCTGTGCCTGCAAGCCTGTGGTTATGCTGGCGTTTTGCCTTGCTTTGCATCACTGCGCTTTGGTAGTTTCGCCTGCTGACTGGTGGCATGCATCGTCGCCCTCAATCCATATCATGTCCATGTCTTCATCTATTCGTGCCAAGTATGTTCAGCTCCCGTGCACCCTCCTCACTTGCCGCATTTTGGTGTTGTGCCATCGCACTTGCTCCTCTGCCTCCAGTACATGAACAGCGGTGACTTCACGGCGTGCGTGCTTTCCCTTGGCCACACCGACGCGAGTGAGGAAGCCACTCTTGCATCCTGCATCTCAGGGTGCCAATCAAGCAACTCAACCTGCCGGTGAGTTGTGAAAGGCTGACGCAGCGGCGTCTTGGAGGGTAGGGGTGTACGCTGTGTACATACAGCTAACAGCAAGTAGTTGACTATGAACTTGCTATCTGGCACGTTTTGTACTCTGTTCGAGATTCCTTCTTGGCAGTGCTTGCGCCTAAATGCCTATTGGGTGTCATTCTGGTTCTGAATCAGTGCTGACCTCTGCTGCCTGATGGCCATGCATTTCACTCACAAACTGGCTTTGCTTGCGTTGCGTTCTGCATTTTGCAGAGCCGACTGTGCTTTGAGCACCAGTGACTTTGCCACTGCGTCCACAACTAGTTCGCCCGCTTCGACCACCACGACAGCCACAACTACGACAACAACCACAACCACAACGACTACCACGACCACAACAACCACCACGACTACCACGACCACAACAACGACGACCACAACAACGACGACAACAACAACGACGACAACAACAACGACGACAACGACTACAACAACAACAACGACCACGACCACGACCACAACAACCACAACAACAACGACGACCACAACAACCACAACCACAACCACAACCACAACCACCACGACAACAACGACCACAACAACCACAACAACAACTACGACCACAACAACCACAACAACAACAACCACAACAACAACAACAACCACAACAACAACAACCACAACAACAACAACAACCACAACAACAACCACGACAACCACTACCACCACGACAACAACTACACCTCCGCTGCGTTGAGCTCTCTTGCACACGACCATATGCTCACCAACGCCTTCCAATGCAGCTCATTGCTTCATCAACGCCCATGCCACATTCACATTTACATGTTTTACTTTCGTACTACGCTCCTACGCTCGCTCTCCCATTCTCGATGGTCCACGCTTCATTCGTGCTGTAGCAACTGCTTCTTTCCGTGTTGTGGTGTGTACTTTTGAGTAACAACCGTCCAATATCTACACCGCCCAATACCCATCATCCAAGAACAACCATCAAAAATAACAGCCATACAGCAAAGAACAACGCACAACCACATCGCTGTAACGGCAAGAAGAAACGAAGAAGATGCAGGCGACATCACGATAGCAGAGGCCGGCACTGCTGCAACAGCGTCATCAAGCGCCTCAGGTCGTCGGGAGACGTGAACTCGCGTGATGCAAGAGCAGTGCACGCATTGAGCTGCGCACGCGCTCTCTCCTTATATTCTCTCCTGCCCTTCTTCTTGTTCCTGCTCCGCCCAGCCTTATTACCGCCACCGTCTCCCACCAACGCCTCCAGAAGATCCTGCAGTCGCGCGCGGATGGCAGTGCACACCTCCACCACCTGCTGCCGCTGCTGCGCCACTTCATCAGACACATCCTCTCCACCCTCACCACTGCTACCTTCACCGCCACCCTCACCAGCGCGCATGCGCCGCTTCTTGTGGTTTCTCGATGCTGCTGCTGCTGCCGCTGCTGCTGGAAAGAGGGTTCGCGACGAGACGCACGTGGCCAGGGCGTCCTTGCATGCAAGCAAGTCCCGCAGACTTCGCTTCAACGCACCAACATTGGGGCTGCCGCTGTGCCGGCCGTGCGCGCTGCTGTGCAGCGTGGCCCGTTCAAAGTGCACCTGCAGCACAAGCCCGGCCGTTTCGTCCGGGTACATGGCGTAGTACGACAGCGCCTTGTTGAGGTGGTTCTCTGCCACCTTGCTCGCCTTGCTGGCTGCAGTGCGTGCTGCCGCCGCCGCCCACCGCCGGTGCACGAGACCAAGGCGATGGTGCGCCTCCCCGAGCTTCAGCGACACAGCGCGACGCATTGCACTGATCCACGCCGCGTTGTCGTGCCGGCCGGCGGTGGCGGGCGCGGACGTGAGGTTGCGGCTGATGTCTGCAAAGATGGCGATGGCGCTGTTGAGGTACGAGTCCACGTGCGTATCGTCGCGAAGGGCGGGGGCAGCACTCGCCAGCAGCGCCGCAAACCCAAGATGCGTGCCGCCCAGCTCAAGCTGGATCTGGTCCCACAGCTGCGGGTGCACGGCGCGGCGCGCAAGGCAGTCCTTCGCCTGCTGGTAGTACTGGATGGCGTGCATGTGCAGGTTGCGGTCAGCGGTTGACGCGACGGCATGGGGGCTGGCACCTGCCGTGCCCATGGTGGTGGCGGCGGTGGTGTTGGTTGCTGCTTGTGGCACATTGGCATCCGATTGGCTGCGTTGGCTTTCTTGCTGCTGCTGCTGTTGTGGTTGTTGTTGTTGTTGTTGCTGTTGTTGTGGCTGCGGCTGTTGTTGATGCTGTTGCTGTGTGGGTTGTGCCTGCCTGCTGCCGTGTGCGTGGTGCAGGGTCTGGCTGGCCAACTCTCGCCGCAGTTCCCCCAGCAGTGTCGTGCGCCACGGCCCGCTCCCAGATGCTCCCAGATGCAGCCGCCTCCAGCCGTTGCCGTTGCTGCTGCCCGCTATCACCACCACCACCACCACCATCACCATCATCACCATCGCCATCGTCGTCGTTGGTGCTGGCTTTTGTGTCCGTGTGGGCGTCGGATTGTTCTGATGCTGATGGCCGTGCTGACTTGTCCTTGCTTGCACCGTGCACTGCGCCACTGCCACCACCATCGCCACCACCATCGCCACGACGACGTGCACGCTGTGCTTCCTGCGCGTTCATGTGGAGTTGGTTGCGCGCGTAGCTGATGCGCATGAGTTTGGCCAGGTTGCAGTTGATGACGGCCTGGTTCACGCGGTCCCGCAGGTTGCGAAACGCCGCCAGCGCGCGGAAGAAATGCGCACACGCCATTTGCTTCTGCTCTTCAAATTGCGCGGCAGACCAGGCAGTGAGTGCCGGCATCTCCGACAGCTGGTCCATCAGCACTTTGGCCATCTCGTTGTGCGCGTTGCCCGTCTGCCGCACCAGCGTCTGCGAGGCAAATAAGACGAGCAATCAAACACACACACACATACACACACACACGCACACATACACAGAGACAGACACAACCAAGCAACCACAAACGCGCGCGCATCCCCCCCCCCCACGCACACACACACACACACAGACAGACACAACCAAGCAACCACAAACGCGCGCACTCCCCCCATCCCCCCACGCACACACACGCGCATGCACAGCCACCGCACGTTGTGGATAAAGTCGTAGAGAGCGAGTGCTGCCTTTGCCAGTGCCGCTCTGTCGCTGGGAAGAGGAAACGAGACAACGGCCTGGCGCTGGAGCAGCGATCCCCCAAAGGTGCTTGGAATCGAACCAAATTGCTGGCCCCAATCACGCGTGTCGCCATCACCACCAGCACTGTTGCCTACACCACTGCCATTCCGGCCGACCTTGTCCTCGCTCGAACCGCTCGCCTTCATCACCATATCGCCATCATCACCGTCATCGTTGTCATCGTCGTCATTATTGCCAGTTCGTGCTGTTGGCGGGGGTGTTGCCGATGTTGACGGTGGCGGCGGTGCGCTGCTGCAGCGGCTGTTGTCATTGCTGGTGGTCGCCCTGGAGCTGTCACCATCACACGCGCGCGTCCAATCAAGCAGCCACGCCTCCTTCGTCGGCACCACATGCCCATACCCACCCCCTTTCCCTGCAGAAGAAGATGATGATGATGAGGTGGAGGAGGAGGTGGTGGTAGTAGAGGAAGAGGTAGTGGAGGATGTGGCGGTGATGTCCCACCGCGCCAGAGCCGCATCCTGCCGTGTGCGGTATGTTGCCTCTGCCATCTGCTGGGGAAGGTGCTGGGGTGCGTCGTGGTGCAGCGCCGCAAGCGCCAGGAGCGCGTGTGCGGCCAGCGGCAACACTTTACCAAGCGGGTCGTCTTCCTGCTTCACGTGTGTCTGCAGGTGCTCTGCCGCCTTGACGGCAATGATGGGCCCCGCTGCTGGTGGCGGCGTTGGCGGCAGCGGTGGCGATTGTGTTGGTGTCGAATGTGCTGTCGAATGTGTTGCCGTTGTTGTTGTCGAAGGTGTTGTCGTTGTCGTTGTCGTTGTCGTTGTTGTGGTGCGCGATTGGTGGCCGTCCACGTGTTGTCGACCAGCCCTTGATGCATCGCCGCTGCGCTTGCTCTCCAGCTGTTCATCACCCGCGCCATTGACTCTGCTGTCTGTGCTCGCTGCACTCTCCCCCTCACCACCTTCCAGCTTACCACCACTACTGCCATCGCCTCCAGCTCTTCCGTTGTCATCACCATCCCCATCAGCACCGTCACCATCCCCATCAGCACCTTGACCTCCGCCGTCACCACCGTCATACCACGTGCTTGCTCGGCGCGCGCCGGTGCGGCACCGCAGGCACAGGTCACAAAAGCGGACGGTGGATCCAAACTTCCCGCGCTGCAACGCAAGCTTGGCCAGCGTTGCGTAATGGTGTGCGGCGCGCGTGAGCACCAGCTCCAGCAGCTGCCGGCTGTGGCCTGTGGGTTGTCTGCAATCCACTCCACTCCACCGCTGGCTCCAACAGGTCCAGGGCAACGAGCTGTGCATGGTATCAGACGGCATGGGGATGGCGCCCGTGTCGGGTGGCCGACGCGGTGGCGGTGATGATGAAGATGTTGGTGGTGTTGCTGTTGATGATGACGAAGCACTGGCACCAGCACGACTACGCCCCTGCCCCTGCTGCCCCTGCTGCCCCTGCTGCTGCTGCTGCTGCTGCTGCTGCTGCTGTTGCTTGTGTGCGCTTGGCGAATGCGACGTGCGGGCTGCACCACGTCTTCCATCACTGCCATCACCACCACCATCACTACCATCACTACCATCACTACCATCACGACTGCCACCATCGCCATCGCCACGATGATCAGCGAGGTTGAGCCGGGCGAGGACGTGCGGTGGCATCTGGCTCAGGTGCAGGTTGATGGCGGCTGCAAGCTTCGGATACCGCTCTGCCTCCACCAGGTTACGTGCGTTGGCCAGGAGTCGACACACCGTTGCATCATCGTCGTCCGTCTGGGGCTGGTCGTCCTCCAAAATGCGGATGGCAATCTTGTACAGCAGCAGCGCGACCGAGTGCGAAAACGGGTTGGTCACGTTTGAGTTTGGGTCTGTGGACAAGGACCGTGATTGCTCAATAAGGGCGGTGAAGTCGTACAACCGCACAATGTCGTCATCCTCGCCCTTGTACAGCCAGTAGGTGTGTCCTTCCTCCGTGCAGTTCTTGTTGAGGAAGGTCTTCATGGATTGCGCAATGGCCACAACGGCCTCTGGATCAAACCCGCTCATCTCGGGCAGGTCCTCTGTTGTGATTGTCTCGTAGCGTGACACAGCACCGTTCTGTGTTGGCGGTGGAGGGGGGGATGTAATTGGGCCGTGTTGTGTTGTGGTGGTTGGGCGTGATGTGTTGGTTGTGTATTTGTGTGTGGGTGT